CCAATAATTTACCAAAACAACCAATACAAAGGGCAAGAAGAGGGGAAACCGCTGTATATTCTCCAGGCCTTGTAGAAAACACGGGGTGTTCCTTTGGCCACATACATGTGAATCTACAAAAAGGGTGACATTGTAGACATCAAGGGAATGGGTACTGTGCAAAAAAAGAATGCCTCACAAACGTTACCATAGCAAAACAGCAAGAGTTCAATGTTATCCAGCATGCTGTTGGCACTGTTGTAAACGAGCAACTAAAGAGCAAGATACTTGCCAAGAGAATTATGTGTGTATTGAGCATATTAAACACTGTAAGAGTCATGACAGCTTCCTGAAATACATCAAGGAAAATGATAAGAAAAGAAGGAAGCCAAAGAGAAAGGTACCTGAGTTCAACTGAAGCACCAGCCTGCCCCGCCCAGAGAAGCGCACTTTGCGGGAACCACTGGGAAGGAGCCTGAGTTGCTGGAACCTGTTCCCTATGAATTTGTAGCATAAGCTGGGGGTGGAGTTCTGCCATTCAGCACCTGTTTGGCAGCTAAGTGTCCTAGGCCCTACTTAAAGATAAAAAAAATCATCCTGTGTTATAAGGATGGTTTTCTAAATTGAACAAGTATATGGTGGTACTTTTATCTCAGAAACAAATATTTGGAGCAGATTTTTGTTTTACTTAGTTAACTATGTCAGGTCTTTACTTTTCAGTGTTTGTGTTGCAGAAAGGTATTGTGCAGGTGTATACCCAAGTGGCCAAATATTTATGAAACATTTATATTGGCCTGAAGATCATGTAAATCACCATGATGTTCAAAATTGTATCAAAATAAATGGAAGTCACTTCAGTTAAACAAATGGAAGTCCATCTCAGTTAAATAAATTGTTTAAAGCACCTAAGAAATAAAATAATGAATCTGCCTATCAATTCAGAAATACAGTATGTCCCGGGTACTATTCTCTCATTGCTGGGACAAATACCTGACCCTCAAAATGAAGGAAGGAAAGGTTATTTAGCTCACAGTCACTGGAGGTTTCAGTCCATACTCAGCTGGCTCCAAGGCAGAGTGGCACATGGTGGCACAGAGCAGCCATTCACGCCAGCAAAGAGCAAGAGAGCAAAGGGAGTGGCAGCAGCTCAACCAGCTAGCTAGCCTCTGTCCCCTCCTCACTGTAATGCAAATTACCTGCCCCAGGGCAGGTGCAGCATCCACATCCACAATAATCAATCACAAACTACAGAAGCCGCCCCATGACTGCATAGGCTTTACGGGGATGACTAGATACAAAATGCAATACAGTATTTATTTATTTATTTATTTATTTATTTATTTATTTATTTATTGTGGAACCAGAGATTGAACTCAGGCCCTTGCACTTGCCAGGGAAGCCACTTATTCCACTGAGAAATCTCTTGGGCCCCCATAACACAGTATTTCTAATTTATTCAAGTAATTGCTCTAAGTCCTTTAATAATGTTTTGTCCTTTGCTTCAATATAAAGCTTATATATTTCTTCTTGAGGTGATATTTAAAGTTTTCATTGCTATTCTAAGATGGGACTTTCTCCTGTTCATTTTCAGAACAGTATACTATATAAAACAGATACCAGGGGGCCGAGGAGATGGCTCAGTGGAATAAGTGCTTCCCTGGCAAGCACAAGGTCCTGAGTTCATTCCCTGGTTCCGCAAAAAAA